AACTGAGAAGGTTACTAGGAATGTTAAGTAGGTTAGTTTACAGTAACCATGACAAGGTCCAAAACAGAAAAGTCTGCCAAAAAGACCCATGGGTGTGGTCTTAGTGTATTTTTTTTTTTAAATCTAACACTCAGAAACTCAAATTGAAAGAATCCTGTCTTGTGAACTGGACGTGATCAGAAGAAGTACATATGTTTTTGGCTCCTGTCTACTACCAATAAGAAACAGGCTGACAAAGCCACCCAGGTGCGACCAGGAATTGTCAACCAAAGGGCAGTACCAAGAAAACAGAGTCAAAAGTTCTCTGGAATTTTGTGGTTATGGCTAAGAAACCCATTACAAAAATAAAACAAAACAACAACAACAACAAAGAAAAAGCAGGAAAACAAAATGTAGATCCAGATGCTTTCCAGGGTAAATTGAGACACATTTTTACAAGGAAGAAATTACACTTCGAACAGTAGAAGGGAAGCCCTGTCAACTGCTTTATCATCTGAGGAAAAGATAACACTGCTAACAAATTCATGTGTGCAAACTAGCAACAACAACAAAATCACCGAAGATCATCTTTATAAATGCACATATAAAAACCTTTAACCAGAAGCTAGTTCGTAGTGTATAGTTATCTGTATTCAAAAGACAGTGGTGGCGCATGCCTTTAATCCAGGCACTTGGGAGGCAGAGGCAGGTGGATCTCAGTGAGTTCGAGGCCAGCCTGTTCTACATAGTGAGCTCTTGGATAGCCAGGACTGTTATACAGAGAAACCCTATTTCAAAAAACAAAAAGAAAGAAAGAAAGAAAGAAAGAGAGAGAGAGAGAGAGAGAGAGAGAGAAAGAAAGAAAGAAAGAAAGAAAGAAAGAAAGAAAGAAAGAAAGAAAGAAAGAAAGAAAGAAAGAAAAAGTTAAAATTCCAGATCAGGGTTAGGGATATAGTTTAGTGGTAGATAGCTTAGACAGCATGTAATAAGACCCTAAATTAAATCCCAAGTACCACCATGAAGGTAAAAATCCATACCAATGGGTATCTACTATAAGATTGTCAGTCAAATTCATTATAGCAACAAAACACACCAGACAAAATGGCACTCATTGCTATGGTGATATTTTATTTGTACTGAAATGTGATTTTACTTATATGTTAATAAATAAAGTTACCTGGGGGTCAGAACTAATAGCAAGCCATAGCAGAAGTCTGGCAGTGGTAGCACACATGCCTTTAATCCCAATCACATGACAGGCAGATCTCTGTGTGTTCAAGGATACAGCCAGCATGGAGATACACGTCATTAATCTCAATGCCAACCATTGAGACCTAGAGGTCTGTATAGACAGGCTGTGATGAGGAGGTCATGTGGTTGGGTTTACAACCAATAAGAAGGCAGAACAGAAAGTCAATAAAAAGACAGATACACAGGAAGTAGGTCTCTTTCTCAGGGGAAGGACAGCAGCGGCAGTGAAGGGTAAGAAAGGGTTTTTAGTGTTGGCTCTTAGCTACTGCTCTGACCTCTTGGGCTTTTAACTCTACATTTGGTTCTGTGTTTCTTATTTAATAAGAATGTTACATCTACACATTGCAAGGTATTTGACACTTACTCCTGAGGATTTTGTTGTTATTGTTGCTATTTTGTCTTGAGACACTCTTTAAAGTAATCCAGAAGGATTTAAGTTTGAGTAAGGCATGGCTTTCTCACTGTTCCAAATGACCAGCCTTTCCTGGAAAAGCATGGTTTCTTTTCCAATAAACTTCATGCTCATGAAAGTTGTACAACAGGACTGTATTTCAGCTTTCCCATCTTGTTTTTCAGTTTGTTTACAGCAGGTCCAACAAACAACCATGTGTCACTGTGAATTCTCAGATGGAGAAGCGTGGCTGCCCGTGTGTGGTGGTTTGTATAAGAATGGCCCCGTTGGTGGCGCACGCCTTTAATCCCAGCACTCGGGAGGCAGAGCCAGGCGGATCTCTGTGAGTTCGAGGCCAGCCTGGGCTACCAAGTGAGCTCCAGGAAAGGCGCAAAGCTACACAGAGAAACCCTGTCTCGAAAAAAAAAAAAAAAAAAAAAAAAAAAAAAAAGAATGGCCCCCACAGACTCCTGTGTTTGAATGCCTGGCCTATAGGGAATGGCACTAATAGGAGGTGTGGCCTTTCTGGAGGAAGTGTGTCACTGTGGAGGCAGGATTTGGGATCTCAGAAGCTCATGTCAGTCTCCTACTGCCTTCAGATCAAGATGTAGACCTCTCAGCTCTTTCTCCAGCACCATGTCTGCCTACACGCTGCCATTCTTCAAGCCGTGACAATAATGGACTGAACCTCTGAACTGTAAGCCAGCCCCAATTAAATGCTTTCCTTTATAAAAGTTGCTGTGGTCATAGTGACTCTCCACAGCAATAAAAACTCTAAGATACCGTACTTTCTAGAATGATTCAAACTCGAAAGTGAGGCTTTTGTCCTGATGTTTTGATGGAGCTATATAAAGACCAACAGACTTGAAGAAGTTTCTGAAAGTGTTCAAAGCCACTTTTAGAAGGACACAACACCATACACAGGCCATATAAAGGTGCTGTGAAGGAAACACTATAATGTAATTACATACCTTTAAAAGCAAATTGTCCCTCAATAAAGCCAATTATGTAATCAGAGTTATCATGCCATGTTGTCTTTTAATATCAATTCCGTGACTTCCATGGCTGACTGGGAACATGTGAAGAAGGCTTCTTCCTCTAACCACACCAACTTAACCTGAAGAATTCAGCGGAGTCACTGCACCCATGATGGCCTCCCAGCAGCAGGTGCCAGCCTTTTGCATGAAGCACAAGAGAGCACAAGATCCCACAATCCTTTGTCACTTTTAATCATGTTGTCCTTTCAACAACTTGTATGGACTCTATCAGTGAGTACCAGACCAGCTTGGCTATGGCCCTTTGAGAGACCCCAGCCTTTCAAACTAAGGACCCTATCAGCAATGAGGACTCTCAAAATAAAGATACCACCCCAGCTCAATGTGTAGAGTGCTGGACCACCAACAAAGATCTCAGGGATTTGCTTCCTCGAGGGCAGTTGCCCCTGACTGCCCAAGTTTGGGTACCCAGAATCACATGTGGACCAGGAGCCAGACCAGAAATACAGAGAAGTCAAGATCCTTGACTCTGGTGGTGCAGACTGCTGGTGTCATTGCACAGGTTTTGAGGAGACAGCAGGCAGGAAGGAGACCCCAGGCCCCGAGAAGAAGCTAAGGTGGGACAAGGGGGTCCCTGAGAACAGGAGCCAGGTTCTCTGCCTTGCACCCAGTCATCAGAAAAGGAATGACCTTACCTTCTGTGCCCAGACCCAGAAAGGGGGAAAGGAACTGGAAGATGTCTATCTATGCTGTTGGAAGAGTGTGTGGCTTGCTTGGACTCCTAGTTTTCTCTGCCTCCTACTGCTGGATCACAGATGTCCTCTACCATGAGTCGGTCCATGAGGTGTTCTTAAAACAGCAACTAGTACAATCCTCAGTTCTGCAAAGAGAGAAAGAGACAGAGAGACAGAGAGACAGAGAGAGAGAAGAGAGGGAGAGAGAGAGAGACTGAGATTGAGATTCCTCACCTGCCACAAAGCAGTGAATAAACTACAGAGGATGATCTGGTCAGTTTGATAAAAAGATATCAAAAAATTGAAAACGACACATTGTATGATTAGCAATATTTGTTTTCCCATAAAATTAGGAATAAAACAGTGAACTCTGACTTACTATATGTATTCAGTATGTTTCCTATGTCTTAGGCTTTAAACTAAGGAAAGAATAAGACAGGAACAAAGGACTAGAAAAGATGACGTAATGTTGCTTTTATGTGTGTGATACAATTAATCACAGAGAAAATCTTAACAGATTTGAAGAAAATAAAGCACTTCTCAAAGGTCTCACTGTGTAGCCTCTGGCTGGCCTGGAACCACAATGTGCCAGGTTGGCCCTAAACTCCAGGGGATCCTCCTGACTCTGCTTACCAATGTTGCAATTAAGGCATGCAGCACCATGCCCAGTATATATTTTTTTCTAAACAACTTGCTCTTTTTTTTTAAATTCTGTGTATGTGTGTATGTTGGGGCAGGGGGTATATGCATGTGAGTACACGTGCTTTCAGAGACCAGAGTGTTGGATCCCCTGGCTGTTGTGAGCCAAACAATATTGATGCTGTATGAAGTAGACCATTGATCTAAATATGAAATCTAAAACTATGAATATTCTGTAAGGACTCTTTGAAAAAACAGCTTGTAAGAAAGGGCATGAAAACATGTTGATTTTTTTAAAAACATAATTTAGACCTAAAATATTATGTACAGCATTTTGTTTTTTTTTACCAGAATAAGAGTTTGAAAAGTCCTCACTGGTAACAAGGATCAGACTTCAATTCCTTCTGTCTATATCACCAGACAGAGACTACCTGGAATAGAAAAGTCTCCAAGGCAAAACAAAGAGCATGGGCTGGAGAGATGGCCCAGATGTTAGTTAACAGCACTGTTGCTCTTTCAGAGGACCCAAGTTCGGTACCCAGTAACCACATGGTGGCTCACAACCATCTGTAAATTCCAGTTCCAGAAGATCCAACACCCTCTTCTGGCCTCCTCAGCCACCAGTCACACACATGGTGCACAAACATACATGCAGATAAACACTCATGGACATGAAATTTAAAAAAAAAAATCCCTTAGAAAGATACATACAAGAAGAAAAACAAGGGGCAGGACTTTCTCACAAGGATTTGGAGAAGCTTAAAGGTGGGTGCTCTGATGCTATTATGTTGTTTACATTATATACAATTGATCATATGTAAATATAAAGTTTGTATATGAAATTGACTATAAAGTTAAAGTCTTTTAAGTAGTGTAGTGCATTTGTTGCAATGGTCACAGCAGCAGCAGCACACAGCAATCTTGTCGCTGTAGTCCTAACCGTTGCCTTCTAACCCCTGGCACTTTTCTTTGCTAGCACGGTTCCGCATTGTAAGCCCTTATATCCACAAGCCTGTGCGGTGGCCGCTCTTCTTGATCATCCCTGCCTACATTGTGATCTGTATCCTGATCGCCATTGTGGTGAAAGCCTGTACCCAGAGGAGAAGATGGAGGACCGAGGACTACTCAAGTGATGAGTGTGTGGATTTCGCATCTGTCTCCTTACCTTCATAATTAGTTGGTGTCATGGATTATTAATGGCATCGAGGCAGATATAGCTAGTAACCCAGATTTAATATTTGTTCTTTGTGTGGCAATTGAGTACTTAATACATTAATGATTAATAGAATGAATAACCAGGTTTTTTTCAAACATCGGTTTTTAGTCCTATAAAAATTTAGTGGGTATGAAAGTGCCACAGCAATATCTGTTGCTGTTTGTGCTACTGAGAAAAAACAAAACAAAACACAACCTTGGGCCTCTTTAGGGTTGAAAGCAAATGAAAATTACTGTCTCACACTTACTAATATTAATTATTAAATATATATAAAATGTTGCTTAATTTTTACATTTCTCCATTGTAAAAAGTTTTTATATGTTATTTTGAAAAAAATGACAAAAATTTTCAGGGAAGTAGTTTTTCCTTTTATTCAGTTTTAGCTTTTTTTTTTTTTACATAAATGAAGAACTAAGCAGCCAAAGGTGAAAGATAACAAATTACCTAGACTAATATGACTAAAAGACATGACACCAGGATGGTAGCAAGAAGATCAGGAGTTCAAGGCCAGCCTGGTCTACATAGCAAGTTCCAGCCCAGCCCTGAACGGCATAGTGAGACTCTGTCTCAGAAAGAAAGCACAGGAGGGTGGTATGACTGGGGAGATAGTCCAGTGGCTTAGGTGCGTCCACACAAGCTGGAGTTGAGCCCCCAGCACCCACATGAAAACTGGGCAGCCAGCATGCACCTGACACCCAGCCCTGTGGGACGGACACTGGCTCCCTCTCTAGTCCACGCTTGGCTGTCTTTCTTACACAGCCCAAGCTCACCTGCCTAGAGATGGTGCTGCCCACAGTGACCTGGGCCCTCCCACATCAAGACACTCTCACAGGATGGCTATAGACCAATCTGGTGGGATACCCTCTTTCTATGTGACTCTAGGTTGTACCAAGTTGACACAATAAAAAAACCAAACAGGCCAGGGGGGTGGGGCAATAAAGCGGTAAATTAAACAGCCATGAATGAAGGTGAAGATGAACGGCCACAAAGGCTTACAGGCAATTTAGCCATTTAGAAATGTTAAGAAAGAAAAAATGTTAAGAATGTGAGACTAGGCTCAGCCTGGAAATGTTGCATCACTGTCTCTAAGGGATTGTCTCTGTCTCGAACCATATAGGCAATTTGAAAGTGAAACTGAATCCAGAGACTAGTCTGACAGCAAGGATTTCTACAATGTCAAGGTAAGTCTCCAACATTCCAACGGAAAGAGGGAAGGAGGAAGAGAAATGAATGAGACATAAAGAGTAGTAGTCATATCGTTCTGTAGAACACGAACAACTACTGACTACTTTGCAGTGTTGCAATTTGTATCAATAACATGAGAATGTTATACATGATATCACACTTTATCACTGAAAAAAATAACTCAGTCTTGAAGGCATAAAGTCCTGAGTTCTGTCAGCAGGACCCAAACTGAAAGCTGGAGGTGACAGCAGGGCCTGTAATTCCAGTACCGGAGGGACAGAGAGAGGCAGACTGATGAGCCGAGGCTTGTGGCCAGGCCAGTCTGGCTGACAAGGTGGACGGCACCCGGGAGATAAGAGCCAAGGTTGATCTCTGGGATCCTCATGCCTGTGCACATGTGTGCATGGGTGGGTACACACACACACACACACACACACACACACACACACAAGTACACAAGTACACACACACACACACACACATACACACACGAGTACACAAGCACACATATGCACACAATTTCTCACAAGAGTCAGACCTGGCGCTGTCAGCCTGTAATCCCAGATCAAGAGTTGGAGTTCATTCTCTGCTACATAGAGAGTTCAAAGCCAGCCTAGGCTACATTAGACTCTGTCTCAAAAAAAAAAAAAAAAAAAAAAAAAAAAAAAAAAAAAAAAA